CGATGTTAGCCCTTTGTAGGAAATTAACCCAATAGTTACGATGAGCGGCAAGTAGCAAATAGTCAGTGTCAACTGAATCCAAAGCACACTAGAAACTGTTTTCTTGTACCGTGCATTATTCAAAGCCACGCTGTCTGTACAAAGAGTTCCGTGATTATTAATTCCCCCATTTATTTGCACGTGTCGCTGATGTTGACGAATTTTCCAAATGATTTTGGCGTAGCAAAAAGAAGATATTGCAAGATTGCCAAAACACATTGCAGCTCCTACAAGCATCTCAGCTTTGTTGTAGTCCAACATCGGATATGAGGAAGACACAGACCCGATGGATACCACCCACAGAAATAAAAGAACAAGTGAAGTTCGTTTAAAGGTTACGACCTGTCTGTAACGTAAACCTAAGTTAAGAGCTAGAAGTCTGTCTATGCTTATCGCAGTTGAAGTTAATAATGACACCAAGCACAAAGTGTTTGTGGTGATATTATTAAAGGTTGCTGAGTAAAGACAAAGATCTCCTCGCCAATCTTGATGTTTAGTCAAAAGTGACACCATATATAGGATAAACAGAGGCTGTGAAATACAACCAATAAGCAGATCAGTTAAGGCCAAACATCGAAACAGAAGCTTCGAGGGCGGATGAAGCGCCGATTCTTTGTGAAGGGCATATAAGATCAACGTATTTCCCAGCGATGTAATAATGGACAGCAAAGCATTGATAACCAAAAAGACAATTATGCGAAATATTTGTAAATCATTAGAAGCAGCGATACAAACTTTAGCTCGCAGGCTGAGGGTATTTTCAATGCTGTTATTCTGAGCCATGTTTGAATCAGTTCTGTAGAACGTGATGCTCTAGAAAAACAGCTTCTTTCTATTTATATATACATTGACAGCAGGAGACAAATATGCACTATTTGAAATAATGCGATGCTAACATATGTTCATCTAAGATTGCTTTATCGATGAATGACAGGTAGCAGGCGCCAGGCTTCGAAACTAAACGACTTAATGATG